AGATTGCTCTGAGACGGAGGAAAGACGGAGGAAATCAGGTTGGGAGTCTGGGCAGCGGCATGCCGGAGGGGGGGGGCGCGGGCGGGCCGCAAACGAGGGGGAACACCGAGGTGGCAGAGAGGGGTTGCTGTTGGACACCTTGTTGTGATGGTTGGCGACTTCTGGCTTCTACCAACATCATAGGCTGGTGTTTTGCTTGGCTCCCCCTCCCGTTGCCAAGCAGGATCAATCCCGTGCTCATGCCCGACCTCGCAGGTCGGCGCCCCCCTGCTAGACATCCTATTGCCCGAGGGCGCCGAACCAGGCGCCGACGCGGACGCGGGCGCGGCGGGGACGCCCATCGCGGGCCCGGAGGGCAGCAGTGGCAGCAGCAGCAGCAGCAGCAGCAGCAGCAGCAGCAGCAGCAGCAGCAGCAGCAGCGCCGGCGCGGCGCCGGCCCCGTCGATGGTCCTGGCGTCACCGGCGGTGCGAAACCTGGCGCGAGAGCTCGGGGTCGACCTGGGGACGGTGGCTGGCACCGGCCCGGGGGGCCGGGTACTAAAGGATGACGTCATCACGGCTTCAGAGGTGCGCGGCGCCGCAGCCGTCGCTGCACAGGCGGGGCTCGGCGCGCCTGCAGCCGCCGTCGGCGCGGGCGGCGGCGGCGGTGGCGGCACAAGCTTGGACGACGTGGCGCTGTCCCTCGGCCGCGCCGCGGCCGCGACGGCGATGGCGGCGGCGGAGGACGCCTCGGCGGCGGCGTCCGCGCCGCTCGGCGGGCGCCCTGCAGTCATGCGTGCTGCGGGGCCTGCGGAACCCGGGCCAACGGCGGCGGCGGCAACGGCACCAGCACGCGTGCCTCTTCGCGGCTACCGGCGAGCGATGGTGGCCAGCTCTGTCGAGGCCGCTGCGATCCCCACATTCCATTACATGGCAAGCTGCCACCCGCTGCTGCTGTGCCTGCCTTGATAAATGCGTCACAGCCGGCTGATTACGCCTGCTCGCCTCCCGGCTGCTCTTTTTGGCACAGGAGGCGAGGCCAGGGGGCAGCAGGGGAGGAGCACCGGCATCAGCACGCCACACCCACAAAAGATGTCGAGTACGACAATGTGCATCATGTAATTCGCTTGACCCGTCCCCGATGCTACCCCGCTCACAGGATGAGATGGAGCTGGACGAGCTGATGCGCGTCAGGTCGCACCTGAGGGAAGCCGCCGGGCAGCTGCTTCTGGGGGGCGGCGCAAAGCTCACGTACCTGCCGTTTGTGGTCAAGGCGTTGTCCGCCACGCTGGCGTCCCATCCGGAGGTCAACATGCAGATGGCGCCAGGCGGGCGGGAGCTGCTGCAGCTGGCGGGGCATAACGTGGGGGTGGCCATGGCGACGGGCGGGGGGCTGGTGGTGCCGAATGTCAAGGCGGTGAGAGCAAAGGCTGCGGGGGCCGAATGGCGAGATCGCGCGGCTGCCGGGGCTGGCGCGCGGCCCTGGCGCCTCTCTTGGGGGGGCACATACTGCAAGCAGGCTGTGAGGCACAGCCGCGAGGTCGGGGACGCTGACAGGGCGCAGGTTCCAGCGACGAGCTGAGGCCTTGGAGCAGTGTGTCTGCGCCTGCACATGCCTCGGTGACTGCGTGCCGGCCAGGCTTGTGTCTGGTGGCACCAAAATGCCGTGCCCTTCGCTGCTATCTCTGCACACATACAAATACAGTAACACACACACACACACATGCACACACACATACACATACACATTTCCACACACTTACATACAGACACGCTCGCATGCACTCATGCGCAATTGCACACACACAGAACACATGCACACGCTGACACCCGCGTGCGACTCTGGCCCGACTCGTACGATGCATACCCCCAGGTCGAGTCCAAGACCATCCCAGAGATCGCGCTTGAGTTGGCACGCCTGCAGCAGCTGGCGGCAGCGGGCAAGCTCGCGCCCCACGACCTCGGGGGAGGCAGCATCACCATATCCAACATAGGTCAGGGGGCTGCTGGGGCGCCTGGCCTGCCTGGGCGCATGTGTCTGTCTACATGCGCATGAAACAGCCTAGGAGACTGGAGGTTGTGGCTTGAGGGTTTGCTATGCTCTCAGCCATCCGCCCTGCGGTACCTGCTCAGTGCAACCATCCTGTATTCGCATTCGGCCCAAACCGACAGCCTGCGACTCTCATCAATTTATGCCGAACGCATTGTCCCCGCCACGGCCGCCCAGGCACCATCGGCGGCGTCTACGCCACCCCCATGCTCAACGCGCCCGAGGCAGCCATCCTCGCCCTGGGCCGCGTGCGGCCGCTACCGCGATACGACCCCGGGACGGGCGCCCTGGCGCGGCGCCATGTGATGGGCTTCTCCTTTGGCGCAGACCACAGGGTCGTGGACGGCGCCGCTGTGGCGGCGTTTGCAAACACGTTCAAGCGGCTCATGGAGGAGCCCTCGCAGCTGCTCATGCACCTGCGGTAGCGCCGGGCGGCGGGGGCGCCGGCGCCGCGTCCTCAAGCACGGTGCGCGTGAGCGCGGGTGCGGCGCCAGCCGGCGATGCCGCAGGCTCGCGCGAGCGGTGGGGCGGCGCGGCGCCAGGCCGGGCGTCCGCGCTGCCGAGCGCTTTGTAGTGATGATCAATGGCTTTCGAGCTTCGTTCTTTGGGCCGAGGCTGCTTGGATCTTTGGATGGTACAGCGGGTCGCTTCTGAGTGGCGTTTCCTGGCAGCAGCGCGCCCATTCATCTGCCAGTCGTCGGGCGGTTTTTGTCGTCGTTGGCCCTGCAACTAGCGCCCACCGCTCCTCCCCTCGAGCAGGGGGGAGGGGGCCTAGGCGTATGCCCGCGCAGTCGGCTGGGGTTGCCCTGCTGCGGAGGGCCCGTCGCAGCCACCAGGCAGCCACGCTTGCTTGGCTGGTGGGCAGGGGCATCCGCCAGCCCTGCTTTTTTGCACTGTACGGGTGTCGCTCTCGTTCATGTATCGACATTGACAGCCCTCTGCTTGAGAACGAATACGCCTGGCGGCGATGCACGGTTTACAGCACACAGCAGCGGATCGTGGTTTGTGGCAGCTCCGATGTCGAAAGAACACACACACGCGTGCCTGCGGTCCAAGCTTGACGAGGCACGAGACAGCACTGCGCCGCGGGGCCGCCGAGATGGCGGCCGCACTCGCCACACAGCATCCTGTCGCCGCACGCACACATCACTTCACAGCTTGCCACAAGACGACGCAACTTTCTTGGGCGCCTGGCCGACGCTGCCGGCACGTTCCAAGTGTCCCGTGTATACTCAGCAGCGCAATTGTAACTACCACTGCTCAACACGCTCGCACCCAGAAAAATGCGAGCGGGGCCGACAATCCGCCGCACGCAACAGCACGCACCGCACAGCAGCGTCGCGGTCGCCGGCAGTTGGCGGCGCCCGAGCGGGCAGAGGGCAGCGCGGCCGGGTCAGTCTGCTGTCTGGTCGGTGAGCCCAGCCTGGTTCAGCACCTGTAGCGCGGCAGGGCAGGAGGGGGAACGCCGGTGGGAGGGTTGGCTCCGGGCGGGAGCAGAGAAGACCCCATCGCCCAGAGGGAGACGGGGCAGCTCTCCACCGAACGGCGGGGCCCCAGGTCGCGGCGCTCGCGCTTCTCCAGGGCCCTGCAGCTTCGCCCGTGGCCATGGCGGCGCCTGGCCCCCTGCCTGGGCGCATGCCTCGGCCGGTTCGGCTCGAGCAGCCCTGCCCCAACCCAGGCTGGGCTGTGCCGCACCTCGATGAAGCCGTCCTCGTTGTCGTGCTGCACCTCGGGTATGGCCCTGTTAAAGTACTCCCCTATCTCACGCATCAGTAGGGTGTCCTGGGG